CAATTCTCCAGAGCATGTTTTTAGCTACTGTGTTTCGTCTTGTTTGTGTATGTAGTAAATTGGAGAAAGACACTCGTCTATCCTTAACAGTGGAGTAGCTAAACTTCTGTCATATTTCTCTTTTGTCCTTACCTTCACCTCACTTAGCTGTTGACAGATCCATGACTGCCAGTCTGAGTGACGCTCGGGATGCTCTAGTGAATGCAGTCATTGACTCCCTGTCTGCTTACCGTTCTTCAGTCTTAAGTAACCAGCAGCCTGGATTGATGGTTCCTTTTTCTTTGCGGCTTTTCCCACTTTTTGTGTTGGCTCTCCTTAAACAGGTAAGAAAAACAGATACAGAAACTAACACAATGATGGCCAGAAACTGTGGCCTACACCTGCAATATGGGCACTTTGGGTGGCTGACATGGGTGGCTTGCTTGAGTCCATGCATTTGAGACCAGACTGGCCATCATGGTGAAACCCCATCTCTACAAAAGATACAAAAAAAACTAGCCAGGTATGGTGATGCACGCCTGTAGTCCCAGTTACTTGGGAGGCTGAAGTGGGAGGATGGTTGAGTCCAGGAGGCGGGGATTATAGTGAGCACATATCGCACCACTGTACTCCAGTTTGGGTGACAGAGTCAGACTCTCTCAAAACAAAACAAAAGAAACGAACACAGTGGAAACATCAAAAGGCAAAATTTTTATCCTATGAATCCCTAAACATTGTATACATAACTTTATGCTGGTTAAATTTCTGAGGACAGGGGTCTTGCCTCTTATTTGAACTTTGAAAAGTTTTATAACCAAAGAAACTTCCAAATAACGGTTCAGAGCAAGTTCCTTGTTTATAAGATGCTTCTCTGGCTGGGTGCAGTGGCTCATGCCTGTAATGTCAGCACTTTGGGAGATTGAGGCAGGCAAATCATGAGGTCTGGAGTTCAAGAGCAGCCAGACCAATATGATGAAACTCCTTCTCTACTAAAAATACAAAAATTAGCCAGGTATGGTGGCACCTACCTGTAGTCCTAGCTACTCAGTAGGTTGAAACGGGAGAATCAGTTGAGCCCAGGAAATGGAGATTGTAGTGAGCCAAGATCGCGCCACTGCGCTCTAGCCTAGGCAACAGAAAGAGATTCCATCTCAAAAAAAAAAAAAAAAAAAAAGATGCTTCTCTAAGCATTCAGTGACATTATAAAAAATTCAACTGATAATCAGTTTTCCAGAACATGATTTGTATATTATATTGCTGGTGCAAGAAGGCACACATGCATTGCATGTTCTCACATGTGAAAGCTAAAAAATCAAACACACAGAAGCAGAAAGCAGAATGGGGGTTGCTAGAGGCTGAGTGGTACGGAAGGAATTCGGCGATATTGAACAAAAGGTACAGTGTTTTAGTTAGGCAGGAGGAATAAATGTAACTACTGGAGATCATGGATATGTTACTTAGCTTCATTAAATCATTCCACATTGTATCCTATATCGTAGCATCCCTTTGTACCTAATAAATATATACAATTAAAATTTTTCTTTTCTTTTTTTTTTTTTTTTTTGAGACGGAGTTTCGCTCTTGTTACCCAGGCTGGAGTGCAATGGCGCGATCTCGGCTCACCGCAACCTCCGCCTCCTGGGTTCAGGCAATTCTCCTGCCTTAGCCTCCTAAGTAGCTGGGATTACAGGCACGCGCCACCATGCCCAGCTAGTTTTTTTTGTATTTTTAGTTGAGACGGGGTTTCACCATGTTGACCAGGATGGTCTCGATCTCTCGACCTTGTGATCCACCTGCCTCGGCCTCCCAAAGTGCTGGGATTACAGGCTTGAGCCACCGCGCCCGGCTGTACAATTAAAATTTTTCACCAACAAAATGTTAAAGTTAACTTAAAAAAAAAAAAAAAAAAAAAAAGAAGAGCATACATGTGATTTTTTTTTTTTTTTTTTTTTTCCCTCTTTCCTGTTCCCTACAGAATTTCAGCAACATTGTACCTCTTTTTTTTTGAGAGAGTCTCGCTCTGGCTCTGTCGCCCAGGCTGGAGTATAGTGGCCCAATCTTGGCTCACTGCAACCTCCGCCTCCAGGGTTCAAGTGATTCTCCTGCTTCAGCCTCCCGAGTAGCTGGGATTACAAGTGTGTGCCACCACGTCCAGCTAATTTTGTGTTTTTAGTAGAGATAGGGTTTCATCATGTTGGTCAGGCTGGTCTCAAACTCCTGATCTCAGGTGATTTGCCCCCCTTGGCTTCCCAAAGCGCTAGGTTTACAGGCTTGAGCCACCACACCCAGCCAACATTACACTTATTTTTTATTTTTTATTTTTTTGAGACGGAGTTTTTGCTCTTGTTACCCAGGCTGGAGTGCAATGGTGCGATCTCGGCTCACCGCAACCTCTGCCTCCTGGGTTCAGGCAAATCTTCTGCGTCAGCCTCCTGAGTAGCTGGGATTACAGGCAAGCGTCACCATGCCCAGCTAATTTTTTGTATTTTTAGTAGAGACGGGGTTTCACCATGTTGACCAGGATGGTCTCGATCTCTTGACTTCGTTATCCACCTGTCTCGGCCTCCCAGAGTGCTGGGATTACAGGCATGAGCCACCGTGCCCGGCCAACATTACACTTCTTAATCTTCTTTTTTGAGACAGGGTCTCCCTCTGTCGCCCAGGCTGGAGTGCAGTGACAAGATCTCAGCTCACTGCAACCTCTGCCTCCTGGGTTCAGGCTGTTCTCCCCACTCAACCTCCTAAGTAGCCGGGATTATAGGTGTGCACCACCACAGCCCGGCTGATTTTTGTATTTTCATTAGAGACAGGGTTTCACCATATTGGTCAGGCTGGTTTTGAACACTCAACCTCAGGTGATCCATCCACCTCGGCCTCAAAAGTGTGGGGATTATAGCCTTTAGCCACCGCGCCTGGCCCTTGATCTTCCTTTGATACACCTGCCACCACGAATGGCTAATTTTTTGTATTTTCAGTAGAGACAGGGGTTTCACTGTGATGGCCAGGCTGGTCTGGAACTCCTGACTTTGTGATCAACGCCCTTCGGCTGGGATTACAGGCCTGAGCCACTGCACCCAGCCTCTAGTTCTCACTTCTTTAACTCAAATTATCTATTTCAATTTCTGAATATAAGTACACAGATTACATAAGTATTTAAATTTTAACATTTAAAAATCTGCGCTCTTCTTTCTCCTTCAGGCCTTTCTTGAAATGCTTTTTTCTAAAGCCCACATTCTCTGATCTTCCTCATTTAATATGCAACACTCTAATCTCACCCCATCCCACACCATTCTGACACCTTTAATCACTTTTACCTCCTGTATTTTTCCTGTGGCGTTTATCATTGACATACCACATATTTTTTTGCTTATTTTTTATTCTTCCCTTAATAGGATGTAAGTTCCATGAGGACAAGGATTTTTTTTTTCTTCATTCACTTTTTTGTCCTAGCAGTTAGAACAGTTCCTAATATATAATAGACACTCAGGAAATATATATTTAAATGAATAGATGGAACTTTCCTTCTAACATTAAAATCTTAAGAGCTTTTATAATCTTCCTTTATATATAGTCAGTGTACTTGTTTTAATACATAATTTCATTATTATTTTCTCTCTACCTCCTTTCCATCAATTGGAATACTTCAAATCTCACCCATAACTTTATTCTTCTGCATTTTTATCTGTGTAAAGAAAATAATAAGTTAAATATCATATTTACTTACAAATTTTACTAAGAACCTGTCCTCATTTGTAGTACTATTATTTTTTCTTGTTAATTAGTATTCTTTGTTAAATTGTTTATATGGTGGGTCAATGACAGCCGCCATTAATCATCACCCAGCACTTATAGAACTCTTAGTGCAGGGTTCTCACTGCACATCCCCTGGGCCACAGACCAGTACCAGTGGGTGGCTTGTTAGGAACCGAGCCCCACGACAGGAGGTGACTGGTGGGCGAGGGAGTTTTACTGCCTGAGCTCTGCCTCCTGGCAGATAAGCGGCAGCATTAGATTCTCATAGCTCCAATCACATTGTGAAGTGCACATGCGAGAAATCTGAGTTGTATACTCCTTATGAGAATCTAATGCCTGATGATATCAGGTGGAACACTTTCATTTCAAAATCATCCTCTGCCACGTCCCCCTTAGTCTGTGGAAAAATTGACTTTCACAAAACCAGTCCCTTGTGCCAAAAAGGACCACTGACTTAATAAATATCTTTTTGGTCATTCATATATGCCTTTACTTTGTCATCTGCAGTATAACTTCATCCTTCCTATGGTATTGCTTGGATTGTTACATCACCATCATTACATGGTAGATAAAGTGTTTAGATCTATTTTATCAACTAGGAAACAGACACCAGGGAGATCAAATAACTTTGCTATGGTCAGTTGGTTAATTTCACAAGATTTTTTAGGTGGGCTGTGGCTACATTTTAATAGATGTGTGTGACTTCTTAAAAAAAGATACTTAAAAAAATATTCTTTTAACAACTGGCATTTTAAAAGTTCTCAATGATTATTTTAAAAATACAGTTTTTTTGTGGGTCAATGGGGGTTTTCTGTTACAGAAATCATTCCAGACTGGGACGAATGCACGTCTAGATGAACGCATTTTTGCAATGTGTCAAGTGAAAAATCAGCCCTTGGTTTACCTTATGCTCACAACTCATCCCAATTTGTATAGAGTTGACAATCTCTCAGATGAGGTAAGATGGATTGCTTTTTTGTGGCTTTTACTTGAAGATTAGTAAGCCTAATCATAGTCAAGTACAGAAATGAGGAAGGGTTTGTTTATTATTTAAGGCTTTATCTTTTGTTTTTGTTTTCTTGTTAAGACTAAAGAAATTTTAGTATAGGAAAACTCCTAAAAATAGTGCCAGTAAGTCTCCTAAAATACCGTCTGTAGAGCAGATCTAAGAAATGGGAAGACTGTCAAATTGACCAGAGCAACTTATTTATTTATTTAAACAAATTGATCTTTTAACAACTGACATTTAAAAAGTTCTGGGTATATTTGTGCTCACTTTGGCGGCACATATACTAAAATTGGAACAATACAGAGAAGATTAGCATGGCCCCCGTGCAAGGATGACATACACATTTGTGAAAAGTTCCATATTTTAGGAACAGAAAACCAAACACTGAATGTTCTCACTCACAAGCAGGAGTTGAACAATGAGAACACATGGACACAAAGAAGGGAACATCACATACACTGGCATCTGTCAGGGGTTGGGGGGCCAAGCGGGGGGAGAGCATTAGCACAAATACCTAATGCATGTAGGGCTTAAAACCCAGATGACAGGTGAATGGATGCAGCAAACCACCATGGCACATGTATACCTATGTAACAAACCTGCATGTTCTGCACATATATTCCAGAACTTAAAGTATATTAAAAAAAAAAAAAAAGGCCAGGCGCGGTGGCTCTCGCCTGTAATCCCAGCACTTTGGGAGGCCGAGGCGGGTGGATCACGAGGTCAAGAGATTGAGACCATCCTGGTCAACAAGGTGAAACCCCGTCTCTACTAAAAATACAAAAATTAGCTGGGCATGGTGGTGCGTGCCTGTAGTCCCAGCTACTCGGGAGGCTAAGGCAGGAGAATTGCCTGAACCCAGGAGGCGGAGGTTGCGGTGAGCCGAGATCGCGCCATTGCACTCCAGCCTGGGTAACAAGAGCGAAACTCTGTCTCAAAAAAAAAAAAAAAGTTTTCAGTGTATTCTTAAAATATCTTTTCTGTGGAGAATAGGGGTTTTTTGTTATAGAAATCATTCTAGACTGGAACAAAAGTACATCTAGATCTGAGCGTGAAGTTACATCTGAACACCCAGTTCAGTGTAATAGTGTCCTTGAATTAAAGAAAAAATATTTATCTAAGTTGCAACATTGTTTTCCTTTGGTAGAAATTTACCAGAATTAAAGTCACAAGAATGAAAATGTTAAATCAAAATGCTTCTAAAACTGTGATCAAGTTAAGATACATATTTTGGAAGTAATGCTCTGGTTAAAAACCTTTCAAAATGTAAAGAATTTAAGATACAGGATGTGCGAGGTGGCTCACACCTGTAATCCCAGCACTGTGGGAGGCTGAGGCAGGTGGATCACCTGAGGCTGAGTTAAGAGACCAGCCTGGCCAACATGGCAAAACCCCATCTCTACTAAAAATAGAAAAATTAGCTAGGCATGGTGGTGCACACGTGTAATCCCAGCTACTTGGGAGGCTGAGGCAGGAGAATCACTGGGACCCAGGAGTTAGAGGTTGCACTGAGCCAAGATTGTGCCACTGCACTCCATCCTCAGTGATGACAGAGCGAGACTCCATCTCAAAAAAAAAAAAAGGCCGGGCGCGGTGGCTCAATCCTGTAATCCTAGCATTTTGGGAGGCCAAGGCAGGTGGATCACGAGGTCAAGAGATCAAGACGATCCTGGTGAACATGGTGAAACCCCGTCTCTACTAAAAATATAAAAAATTAGCTGGGCATGGTGGTGCGTGCCTGTAATACCAGCTACTCAGGAGCCTGAGGCAGGAGCATTGTTTGATACCAGGAGGCGGAGGTTGCGGTGAGCCGAGATCGCGCCATTGCACTCTAGCCTGGGTAACAAGAGCGAAACTCTGTCTCAAAAGAAAAAAAAAAAATTTAAGATACCTTGCAAATATAAAGGAAAATTGCCTGTGAAATTTGAGGTAACTTTTTTTTTCTTTTTTTTGAGACGGAGTTTTGCTCACATTGCCCAGGCTAGAGTGCAATGGCGCAATCTCAGCTCACTGCATCCTCCGCCTCCTGGATTCAAGCGATTCTCCTGCCTCAGTCTCCCAAGTAGCTGAGATTATAGGCGTGTGCTACCATGTCCGAATAATTTTGTATTTTTAGTAGAGATGGGGTTTCACCATGTTGGTCAGGCTGGTCTTGAATTCCTGACCTCAAGTGATCCACTCACCTTGGCTTCCCAAAGTGCTGGGATTATAAGCATGAGCCACCATGCCTGGCCTATTGCATTCTTTTTTAAAACAAGGGTTAGGATCAGAAGTTAATGGCCAGGCATGGTGGATCACGCCTGTAATCCCAGCACTTTGGGAGGCCAAGGCAGGTGGATCACCTGAAGTCAGGAGTTCAAGACCAGCCTGGCCAACATGGTGAAACCCCTTCTCTACTAAAAATACAAAAAAAATAGCCACTCATGGTGGCGCAAACCTGTAATCCTAGTTACTCAGGAGACTGAGGCAGGAGAATCCCTTGAACCCGGGAGGTGGAGGTTGCAGTGAGCCGAGATCTGGGCCAACAAGAGCAAAACTCCATCTCAAAGAAAAAAAAAGCAAGATCAGAAGTTAATTTGGCTTTACTGGGAGTCACAATGGCTTGGTTATATAAGTGATAACTAACTGTAACTGTCATCATCTTCTTTATGCTTAAATATGAATAATTGTGATTTACCTAAGCAAGGCCCAAACTCTTAGAGGAAACATTCATTGAATTTTTTGTTGTTGTTTAACTGTGACTCCTTATTTCCTATAATTAAAACCTTTACTCTTAATTCCTCAGGGAGCACTCAACATCAATGATAGAACCATACCTCAGCCCCCCATTCTTCAGCTTTCAGTAGAGAAGCTGAGCAGAGATGGAGCTTTCCTCATGGATGCAGGCTCGGTAAGTAGTTTGACTTATCCTGCCCTCACTGCAAACTACTGTACTGTTTTAATTTAGCATTTGGTTTCATTTCCTTTAATATCTATCTTCCTGAACTGATTTCATACGTTAACCTGTGTACAGTCATATACACTAATTAATGATGTGTAAGTCATCGCTTATATGATGGTGATCCTGTAAGATTTATGATGGAGCTGAAGAATTCCTATCACAGAGTATTTACTATGCAATTTTAAAAATTATTGTTTTAAAGCTGTACTCCTACTTAATTAAAAAAAAAGTTAACAGCCTCAGGCAGGTCTTTTAGAGGTATTCTAGAAGAAGATATTGTAATCATAGGAGATGACAGCTCTGTGCATGTTATTGCCCCTGAAGATTTTCCAATGAGACAAGATGGGGAGGTGGAAGCCAATTGAGATTGACGATCTTGACGCTGTGGAGGCCTAGGCTAATGTGTGTTTGTGTTTCAGTATTTAACAAAAAATTTAAAAAGTAAAAAATAAAAAAAATTTTTAAATAGGGAAAAGTTTATGGAATAAGGATATAAAGAAAGAATATTTTTGTATAGCTGTACAATGTTACAAAAGAGTCAAAAAATTAAAAGAAGTTTGCTGGGCATGGTGGCTCATGCCTGTAATTCCAGCACTTTGGGAGGCCAAGGCAGGTGGATCGCTTGAGGTCAGGAGTTAGAGACCAGCCTGGGTAACATGGTGAAACCCTGTCTGTATTCAAAATACATATATTAGCCAGGCGTGGTGGCTCGCTCCTGTAGTCCCAGCTACTCAGAAAGCTGAGGTGAGAGAATCACGTGAACTAGGAGGCTGAGGCTGCAGTAAGCTGAGGTCATGACACTGCACTGGAGCCTGGGCAACAGAATGCGACCTAAGTCTCCAAAAAAAAAAAAAAAGTTGTTGGCTGGGCCCAGTGGCTCATGCCTATAATCCCAACATTTTGGGAGGGCAAGAAGAGTGGACTGCCTGAGCCTAGGAATTCCAGAACAGCCTGGGCAACATGGCGAAACCCCATCTCTACTCAAAATACAAAAATCAGCCAGGCCTAGTGATGTGCACCTGTAGTACCAGCTACTTGGGAGGCTGAGGTGGGAAGATCACCTGAGCCCAGGAGGTCGAGGTTGCAGTGAGCCGAGATAATACCACTGTACTCCAGCCTGGGCAGCAGAACAAGGCCCTGTTGGAAAAAAAAAAAAAAAAAAAAAAAATTAAAAGAGGACGGGTACAGTGGCTCATGCCTGTAATCCCAGCAGTTTGGGAGGCCGAGGCAGTGGTTCACCTGCAGTCGAGAGTTTGAGACCAGCCTGACCAACATGGTGAAACCTGTCTCTACTAAAAATACAAAATTATTCGGAAATGGTAGCACACGCCTGTAATCCCAGCTACTCTGGAGGCTGAGGCAGGAGAATCACCTGAATCCAGGAGGCAGAAGTTGCAGTGAGCTGAAATCACACCATTGCACTCCAGCCTGGGCAACAAGAGCGAAACTCATCTCAAAAAAAAAAAGAAAAGAAAGAAAAGAAAAAAATTAGAACGTTTATAAAAGTTATAGTAAGCTAAGGTTAATTACTGAAAATTAACCTTAAGAAAGAAATTTGGGCCGGGCGCGGTGGCTCACGCCTATAATCCCAGCACTTTGGGAGGCTGAGGCAGGTGGATCACGAGGTCAAGAGATCGAGACCATCCTGGTCAACATGGTGAAACCCCGTCTCTACCAAAAATACAAAAAAAAAATTAGCTGGGCATGGTGGCGCGTGCCTGTAATCCCAGCTACTCAGGAGGCTGAGGCAGGAGAATTGCCTGAACCCAGGAGGCGAAGGTTGCGGTGAGCCGAGATTGCGCCATTGCACTCCAGCCTGGGTAACAAGAGCGAAACTCCATCTCAAAAAAAAAAAAAAAAAAAAGAAGAGATTTATATATATATATATAGTATGGCCTAAAAGTACAGTATTTATAAAGTTTATAGCAGTATACGGTAATGTCCTAGGCCTTTATATTCACTTAACACTCACTGACTCACCCAGAGCAACTTTCAGTCTTGTGGGCTCCATTCATAGTAATTGCCCTATACAAATATCTGTTTATCTCTTCTACCATATTTTTACTATACTTTTCCTATTTTTAAATGCACACTTACCATTGTGTTACAGTTGCCTACAGTGTTCAGTACAGTAACATGCTCTAGAGGTTTGTAGCCTAGGAGCAATAAGCTATACCATATGGCCAAGGTATGCAGTAGGCTATTACCATCGAGGCTTATGTATAAATACAGTAAGATGTTCACAAAATTAAATCACATAACAACACATTTCTCAGCATATATCCCCATTGTTCAGTGATTGATGACAGTATATTTGTCACCTTCCCCCTCCATATCCTCCTTGTTTCATGCCAAGCATAAAATGTCTTATAATGGTAAATAGTAATTATTATTAATTCAATTAAAGGCTGTACAATCTCACTAA